CCCCCCCCCCCCCCCCAAGCCCTCAGCTCCTGCCCCTTCTCTCAGCTCTTACCTCCCAGCCCGAGAAGCCCCTCAGGGCGGCAGGGGGAAGGCAGAGCAGCCCGGCCCCGGCAGTTGCGGCGCGTGGGGATGGCGACACCCGGACTCTGCCCCCCGCTCCGCAGCCGGCCCCCCTAGGAGAACACCAGCAGCTGGAGCTCACTATTTGGCAGCATGTCTTCCTCCTCCAATTAGTTCCACGCGCTCGTTGTGGCTCAGTATTCCGCAGGTCCCCGCAGAAGAGCACTGCGCAGGCGCCGACCTGACGAGCAGGATATGGCCGTTCCCAGCGCTCCCCTGCCGAACGCGCACGCGCACTGCGCTAACCCCCCGCCCCCCCGCTCGCGGCCACTGCGCACGCGCACATTCCCCCCACACAAGACCCAGTCAAGTGCCTCGACTTCCTCCTGCGCATGCGCCTTTTGCTACCAATCCAGCTTTCGCGCATGCGTGCCCGACCCCGCCCTGCTTGCTTCGCCCTCCCCGATGGTTCACTTTCTGGCAGTGCGGTTGCGCATGCGCTGTATGACTCGGAGTCCCCTTACGCTTCATACCTCACTATTTGGCAAGGAGCCACTCCTGTCGCAGCGCCATTTAAACTGCCGGCGGAGAAGCGGGGTGGGGGGGTGGTAGATCTGGGTTGGTCCCTCACTTCCCAGTAGTACCGCAGGGCCGCCGCAACCTCTCGGAAGTAAGCGGCGAGGGGACGGCACTACCTTCCCCCCGTCCCTGTGGCGATTTCCAGTCCTCACCCGATTCCTTTAGCTTCTTCCCCCGCACAGCCCCTCCCACCTCACCTGAGACGGACACCACTGCCTGCTGTCCCCTGCGGTCTCCTCATACCGCCCTACACTGACACATCCGGGCTCCCCACTACGCCGCCTCCCAGCGACGCGCCGCCGCCGCCGCGGGGATCACTGCGCATGCGCTGTGCGCGAGACGAGCTGCGGCGTGAGGGGCGGGGGAAAAAGGCGGGAAGGCGTCGGGTGAGGTGGCGCGTGGCGCCACGTTGGTGGCGACGTCGTGCCTTGGTGTTGTGTAGGGGTTTGCTCTTCCTACCGCCCTTCAAGCTTCTTTTGGTGTGTTAGGTTTTAAGGGCTTTGCTTAGAGCTGGTGTGTGGTTTAGTTTTACACCTTTCTCCTAAAATTTCTGCCAGTACCCAGCCTGAAAGTTCCTTGGTGCAATTTAATGTTGTGAACCTCTCATCCTAAACAGAAAGCTTAAGAAAGGCCTCACAGCAGCTGTGTGGAAAACCTCACGCTGCCTGTGTACATGAGGACTGGATGATCTTGTCTTTTCCAACCTTGGTGTTTCTGTGAGGACATTGTGGAGCAAAACAGAGATACAGCCTGACTGTGAGAAATGTTTTTACCAGATTGCCTAGAGAGGCTTTGCATCTATTTATTTTTTGTGTATATATCATACGTATACACTTCATATATTTATATGACATGCTGATAGTAGTGCATTACATGTTCTCAGATGCAGCACCGGATTCTCCCCAATATTCTGGTGTGTGGTGAGTACACAGCCTGCCAAATGACAGCTAATGCTGTTAGAAGTGTGTGCTTCTGCACTGAAAACAGCGCTCCTTTATCAGATATGAAATGGATTTGTGGTACCGAGTGATGAAAAAGCTATTTGTGACTGAAATGAGAAAGGTTTTTAGTTGATTTTGCTTTGCAAAATTCATATGTGACGACACTTAAACAAAAAATATGTTGTCTTTTTATTTCTTATTCCATTCTTGTATGGAAAATGGAGCTTCTCATAGCACAACTGCTCCTACATACTGAGCTTCCACATTTGTCCACTACTGACTCAGACAATATTGCCTTTTTTATTGCTAACGCTTTCTGCAGCATCCTGGGTTTTCTTGGCAAGTGTCTCATCCAAATCACGACTGGTTTTTGGACCCTGCTTCATTCCTTCGTTTCACAAACTGCTGCCTATGGTGACAAAACAGCAGGTAATGCTGCACTGTAATGAAGAAATGCTATAAAACTGCCTCATGGGAAGTACAGAATTGGTCATACCATTGCTATTCTGGATACACATTTCTCCTAGAAGTTTATTTTCATTCTCTTTCTTTTTTTTTTTTGGCTTTTGGGTTCCTAACATAAACTCTCAATTTCTACTACTGTGCTTGTTCTCCTCTAACTGAAACATAAAAGGAAATTAAAGCACCAATTTTGGAGAAAACTAAAGGCTTTTTTCCCCCTTCTGCTGCATTAGATTAGCGCTCTGAGGCTGCGGGGCTTTGATACGAGGTTTTTTTGGGGGGGGATATGATAAACTGGAATGTCACCTTTAATTCAAGGCTGCCTGTGTGTCACGTGGCAGCAGGGAGGTCAACCTCTTTGGCAGTTTATTACATTCTTCTGATCAAAGTTCTCTTGTTCCCAGGAAGTGGAGAATTAAATTGGATATCTGAAAAAAGGAAGATGTAATCTCACCACTCCTTCATATAAACAAGCAATCTAAGGGTCGCTTCTGTCCTGCTAAGTGCAGACATCACGTGAAGTGCTGTCATCCTTTGCAAGCTCTACCTTCTATCTTTAACACAGTTCAGTGCTACTACTAGCAGATAATTCCTAGGCACAGGTAGTGTTTGGTCCTTGGAAGTTTAATGGGAGTACGTGCATGTGAGAGTACCAAATCCCCAAAGGCTTTGTGGGTATTGGGTATAAGTCCCAGTATCACCTAAATGATGCAAGGCAGGTTATTTTTTTTTTCAGCATGGAAAGATCCAATGAATACTAAAGTACATCAGCTTTGGAAGTGCTTTGTGTAAACGTGAGCTTGATTTTCATGAGAAGCTGATTAAACTGATGTCCATGAAGGAGTTGTGTGCGAGAATTTTAAATAGCTCCTGCTTTTTAATATTCACTTCCTCTTTGGTTTTAATTATTTTGTTCCTACATTTTCCCTTTCAATTTACTAAAAATCTAGAAATGTAATTAGAGAGAGGCTGAAGTCAGAGAAAGCTGCCAGCATTTCCACATCATGATTAAATGTATCAGCCATCCCTTTAGTGAGAGACTGAAAAACAGGATTCTCATAATTATCTCCCTGTTATCCAGGAAAGAATCTGCAACACGTACAGATACAAAGTTATTGAAAATGCAGCACTAATTAAAATCTCATATAGGCTTCTGATGATCAGGAGAGTCTGAAAACACCGTTACTTAATTATTTCCCGTATTTGCTATCTTTGTTACGAAAACAAACAAAACCATTCTAAACAAAATCCATCTCCAGTCGCTGGGGAGACTTAATGAGGCTTTTATATATGCAACAGCCAAAGAAATGCTGCGAGTTACTTGATTCACCTCTTCTTATGCTGATGAGAAATCCACGAAGCACATTTTCCACATGCAGTGCGGAAGGAACGCTGTGGTGCATTCACAAGAAGCAATAGAATCGTTTGTTGGCTTACGGGTAGGGTTACTGTTTGTTTGATTTAGGATGTAAAAAGAATATTGGTATTACCAACTTCATGTTGTTTCATTATGAAATAGTAATATCTGCGCCACAGCCATTTAAGAATCAAATAGGTTACCCCTGCAGGCTGACTTCTGCTGGGTATCTTCTCCACCCTCTTGAAAATGTCACCTTCTCCCCTAGCCCAGCACAAAGTTGACACTGTTATTATCTCGTTGCAGGAGTCCGAGCTTTGGCACCAGCAGGGCACACTGAAGAACAGTAAGTGCTGATATGGTTGGTGATGAAAGGAAAAGCTTCTGAGATCCAGGCTTCTTTGAACCAAGCAAGTCTGAGGATTCACCAGGGACAGGAAACTGGGGGTTTTTCTTCTGCATCACTTTTCCTCAAAAATTAATTTGCAACAGAACAGCAAATACTGAGCTAGGCAGAGTCTGGTACTCCGACTTTTCCTTAACTGTGAATCAAATAATAATTAAAGACATTCTTCAAGCTGTTGTACCAATTAACTAATCCTCAGTGCTGCACCAAGGAGGAAGGTGAGTTGAATATAACTCGCCTTAAAAAAAAAAAAAAAAGTTTTTGAAGTGTAGAGAAGTTGAGCAGCTTATTCATATTAAAATAATAATAATTAGAAATACAGAATTGGGAACCAGCACTCCTTTACAGACTGGTGGTTTCCCTTTGCTCTGACCTTCCCCGCACGTGGCTCCGGCAGCACCCATGTCTGGTGGAACAGGAAAGGATGCATTCGCTCTAGCAGAGCAGCCACGTGCAAACAGCCCAAATCACAGCCCTACAAAACACAGCCACCATCAGCACCTCTGTGAGAAGCACCTGCTGGTGGTGGTGCGACAGCTGCCTTCCACACGCAGACCCAGAGCTTTGCACACTGCTGCTTTGCTCGCCCGACTTCAAAACGCTGTAAGACAGTTCAACTTTGGCACTGCCGCCCTGATTCAAATCTAGTTTTAATTGTGAGAAAACAAACACTGTGTAAAGAATCTTGACCTTTGGAAAGGTTCTGACTTGGAAGCTTGAATTGCAGGGAATCTGTTCGTAGTGCTGTTTCTACGTGTAGTGGAGACGTATCGAAGCTAATTTTGGAGAAGAGTAAATTGTACTTGAAAATGCGCAATTGTGAGAAACTGACTCCCAAACGTCTTTGAGTTGGTCCTTTGTTTCTCGTTAGAAGCATCTCCTATCTTCCCTGATGAGCCTGCTCCTGTTTTCGGGCCTGTTTTGCTTTAAGATGCTTTTGATCCTGTATTCATTAAAACCTGATCCTGCTGCTTCCCACCAGCCCTAATGGTCTGTGAAATTATTTTCCTTTCTCTAAGATGCTGTTAACTCTGCTGGCACCTGCAGAGTAGAGGAGCTCAGAACATTGTCGAAACTCCTCGAATTCATCCAAACCACCTTTTCTCCATAAACAATCTTCAATGTTATCACAGCAATCTTCCGTAGTAGAGAAGCGGGAGTGGACTGAACAGAGTTTAAAGTTTTTATCACTGCTGTTTTCCACTTCTGCAGGTACAGAGAGATAATTGTACAAAAGACTTGGGAATCCAGGGTAAGATTCACTGTGTGGAGCACGGAGAGAAAGTATGAATGAGCTTAAAGGGCTCAAATAGCTGGGGAAGAAAAGAAAAGAAAAGGTGAATCAACTAAGAAAAAGGCAGAGGACAATGAAAAGCGACGTCAAGACGGAAATGTAAATGTGCTTTGCAGCCCGGACCTTGCAGGGAATAACAGGTATGGATTCTGGAAGTATCCTCAGAGAAAGAGTTGTTCAGTGTTTCAGTTACTGAGCTGCCATCTTGTTCTGACTCCTGATGCTGCCTGGTTTCTTTTTTATGCTGGTGAAGAGGAGAGCTCGCAATGCCTGGTTTTGAGCACAGTGAAGGTGAAGGTTTGCTGTTACCATGCACTTTGTTGTACAAATCCCAGCACTCTGATTTAAGTGATGCTACTCTAGAACGTTCTTACAGAACTAATCAGAGCTAATCAGTTCTTTGTTTATGCCTTCTCATTAGCAGTCCTGCAATGACTATTACTGCATTAAGTTACTGCAGCCAGAATGGCAGTAATGAGTAGCTCAATCTTTAATTTCATTTGAGGCTGCGTTCAGTTATTGCATGGAAAATTGTTTTCTGGAGAAGCGATTTCAAAACCAAGCATTCAGAAATCACGAAGCCTGACCAGATTGAGGTTCTCCCTTTTGGATATTTTGGATGTACTGTACATAAAGATCTACAGATTGTGGTCTTGTAACATTATCCTTAGACCAGATAAAATGAAGCTTATGTTAAAACTAGGCACTAATTTAAA